GATGAGAAGCTCAAATATTGCCCCATTACTCGTCCTGTGATCCCAAATGCGATGCCCATTATAGCCCACCGACCTGCTGGAGTAGAACCAAATCCAAACGCGGTGTTTATTTGCATATGAAAGGACCGGGCCTCGGAATATACCGTCCAGATGATGGTTTCTGGCGGTGATATCAAGGGATATTTAGCCCCCTATTCAGCCGTCGACAAAGAATGGCCATTCAGAAAAAGCGGGGAGGGAGGCCGAGCTTTTTTGAGCCGTCACAGAGCTCATTTGTTCTTTTCTGTTTACTTTAGCCTCCCCCTTCTTTTTTTTCCTCCTCCCTCCAGAGGCTGCCAGCACCGACGGGCAGTTGACTGACCGGGAACCCCTCCTTCTACCGCTCAATCCCAGTGGGAGAGATAAACACCAATTTGAATTGTAGCCAGAGAAATGGTTTGTATTTAGTTAGCATTTTTCAGCTAACCGTTCCAGCTGATAGTCGTCATCTAACCCAGTGTTTTTCAACCTTTTTTGAGCCCAAGGTACATTTTTTCATAGAAAAAATCACGAGGCACCAACCAAAAATGTTAAACAAATCTGTAGCCGCCTATAGTAACACTATAGTTATTCTTATTTTATTCTTATCTTATCTTAAGTGTCTTGAATAGGAAGTAAATAAACACAAAAATGTATTTTTATCATATTTTATATTTCTTCTTTCAAATTGCACTTAACATGTCCACTTCAATATACAAAATTATATACAAAATCTAGTCATAAGGAATTACGCCACCAGTCACTAGTACAGCACAGACACTCAAAAATGGAATATTATTTGCAGATAATTAATTCCTTATCAAAAAATCTTTTTAGACCAGTTAGGTGAAATAGGATTATTTTCTACAGCACACCTGACCATCACTCGTGGCACACTAGTGTACGGAGGCACAGTGGTTGAAAAACACTGCTCTAACCCGACGGCGTGCCGTTAAATAGAACAATTAATTTAGTTTAACTCCCTCCACAATCGCCTGGTGTGTGAGAAAGAATGTACTCTGGATTCAGTGTGCTAGCGTCCATTGTTTGATTGTATTCAGCCTCGGATACAGAAAAAAAAAAAGATGCTCTGAGAGGAATTCTAATCTGATCTGTGCCACCTCCCGCCAGCAGCCTCCTGTAGATCTGCCTACAGGCCGTCTGAGAGGGGTTTTTTTTCTGTAATTATATAGGAGGATTAGGGGTTGGAGAGGAGGCCAAACGCAGGGAAGGTCAAGTCGTGCTCACGTCCCTCGGCTATTAAACGGGCGTTGTTAGACGGAGGAGTGGAGAGAACGAACAGATTAGATGGGAGTCGTGTAGCGTGGCGGAAAATGAAGAAGTGAAGAGAGGAGTGGGCAGCTAGGCAATAGCTCCAGGACAAGAGTCCCATTCTGAAATGCATACAGGGGATCGTTGTGAAGGTCCGGATAGAAGGCAGCTTTATGGAGATGGTGGATGGGATCAGGGTGGTTCTTTTAAATATATGACGCCATCAGGACAGGTATCTAATTTCAAATCATTTCTTATAGACTTTTAGTCTAACTCAGTGGTCAGCAGCCTCAAAAATTCAAAGAGCAGTTGAGACCCATTTCCCACATAAGGGAAAACACAGAGGGGTTGAAGGATGCTTTTAAATGAAATTGTCACGTCTGGAGGAATTTCTGGTGTGTTGTCATGTCTTGATTACCTATTGTGTACACCTGGGGTTCCCCTCCCTCATGTGTTTGAATAGTCCTCGTTTCCCCTGTCCTGTGCCAGTGTGTTTTTGCTGTCTTTGGCTTTTCGTTCTTCGTCTTGCCCACACCACGTAAGATTTTGATTTTTGCACTTTGTCACAACCTTGTTTTTGCCATAGTCTTGTTTACTTTATTTAGTGCTTTTGCCATAGTCTTGTTTACCTGATTTGATACTTTGTTCACAGCCATGTTAATCTTGCTTTGATACTTTGTTCATAATTTTGTCTGCCTTGGTTTGAACTTTGTCTGGTCAACCTCTACTTTTGAGTGCGTTTTTTGTTCAAGTAAACCCTTGGAACTGACCCTTTCCACAAATGAGTCCTCCCTAAGATCCAGCCCCCTGAAAGAAATGGTCAATGTCTACTTGAATCCTCCTCGTGTTTAGGAAATACGAGAGACAAACTTTAATTATCCTGCAGAAAAAAACTCCTGTTGCTGTTGTGCATTGTTTTATGCCCAGTTGTATCTTTTAAGACTTTCTTACTTTTGTATCCAATACAACACCAGTCAGTGCATCAACACTTTTTTTTAATTATACAGAGAAATTATGCGATCTGAAGTTACCAGGTTGTCTGGATTGAAGTCACCACCCCTGCCTTTGTTTTACATAATAATAATACATTTTATTTTTAAAAAGTGCCTTTCATGCATCCTGTCTTAAACCAACAGATTATTTGACCCAAACCAGTGTCATGCAGCTCATAAGACCTCAGAAAATTCTGTCCAATTGTAAAATGTAACGCACCTCCTCTCTACTCCAGTTGAAACACTGTCTGCTGAGGTGTGTCTCTTAAAGTGTATATTGTTGTGGGAAACACTGAAATCATTTTGGTGTCACAGCGAGTGAGACTAAGAGTTCAGCTATGGTTACAAATGGTTACTCAATTTCTCCTTGGAGATCAATAAGGTATACATTCAATCAAAATTAATTCAAAATTAGCTATTCAGTGTCCAGTTCATGCATATATGACCCCGAGTAAGTCAGTGGCCCATAATAAATGGATAAACTGGTCCAACTCATCCTTACGTTGGATAAGTTTAAAGAATGAAAGTTTAGACAATGTTATACAATTATTATAAATATACACACATACTTGTGTGCTTGGCCTATTAAAAAAATTAGGTAGTCCAGGATTTTTCAAACTGTTGCTTATTAAAACCTATCAGGCCTGACCTGCATGTGTAAATGTTTCTAAGGTGAAGCTTTGAAATTTTTCCTTTTGGTTAAAAACAGCACACAGCCAGTGCAGGAAACATCCAGGCTTCAGTCTGTGCAGGAAAACCTGCTTCATTATCAAGGTGGCCGTTTATCTTTAGAAAGGAACTGGTTACTGGACTATATTTGAATAAAACTGGTACACTGGGGTTAGAGTCCAGGTCACAAATCATAAGATGCCTTTGTAAACCAGTATCTGCAGGTCTGTGCTCCAAAAAACATGTGGTATATAATTAGAGCTTTAATACATTTAGTTGTTTTATAACTGTTTTTATAACTGTTTTATAACAATTCAGTCTTAGTTTGTTGCTCTAAGAGGGAGGAACAGAGGAATGAGAGAGACTAAGTGGACCTCTGTGACAGTGGGATGCTAATCACTGTCCATGGTGCTGACTGGGTTCCTTATGGGGGAGAGGACATGTAAAAACACTGAATCTTCACACTCAGACGAGGCAGCGAGCTAATAGCAGCATGTTTCCAACGGTAAAACTATCCGATGTGCGGTTTGCTTCCCTCAGCCGACTCTGCTAATGCGACAAATTCCCATTATCTGTTAATGGTTTAAACCTAATGTGTTGTTAAATGACTTTATCCTCAACAGAAAGCCAGAACTAGCTTTATATTTGTCACCCGCTTCCAACCATTTTCTTTTAAACACCCAATTCCTCAGAGGACCCACGTTGTCATCCCATAATATTCAAACTCAAAGCAAACAAGTGCAGACCTCGATGCAAAGTGCGGATGCTTTATAGTGGAGTCTCTTGTCTGTGGCTGGAT